ATATTGATTACATAAAAAATCCCGCTATCAACTATTCATTACACATGAGCCTTTAATTGGAAAGTTAGCTTCAATCAATTCTGTGCTTTTCCGCATAGCACTTATTGAGCCTTATATTGTGGATTTAACCATAACATTGTTGATCATGACATCTCATGTAATTGCGTCCATTTTTCTTTTATTGTTAATTCGCACAAGTCTCTAGATAGAGAGAGCGGGTCCTGTGTAGGAAACAGAAAAATTTAAGGGAGCCTGTCCGTGTTAGAAGAGGCTAGACTCTTGAGAAAGTTTTGAACACAAAAAAAAGAAAAGAAAAGAAATTAATATTTAAATGAAGAGCATATATATATATATATATTTGCATAATTTTGACCAAAAAAAAAACCAGGGATGCGAGGACAATTTGTTAAGGATTTTAAACTTTCCCCATATCAGCATATTTCTCTCTCCATCAATAGTATTTCATCATCATAATAGACACCTCACAAATGAACCCTACTTCAAAGAGAAGCACAACCTTAAATTCTGAAACCGAAAGACAGAATTATCTGAAAGTGGAATCTAGCTTGACACATACATATCTAAACAATTAAAATGACGCTGGTTAGAAGAATTATAAATAAACCCAAATAATGACAAACATTAAGTATATACGTCGCATCAAACAAGGCTTCGCAAAGGGGTACACGCAATAGATCTATCCGTTTGTATGGTCCACAAAGAAAAGCCCCACGTTTAAAGAAGCATTGCACATACACAATGGCAGTGTCAGGAGCTTGAACTATAGGGTGCAACATTTTTAAAATTAATAATTTAAAAATAATTAAAAAAATTTTGAATCCAGAAACTTTAAAATTGGACTAAGATGTGCAAAATATTAGAATATATGAACTTTTTTTTTTTGTAATTTTCTTCAAGCTCAAGGGATGCATTTGCCTTCCTTGCTTACAATGTAGTGCCGCCAATGCAATATATTTGGATTCATGGGTGAATTATGAATGCATGTAAATGTTGTATATAATTGATATTATTGCAAAGCAAGTTGGGAGAGGTCCAAAGTAGTAGTTTTCATGCAATGTCATTGTCAAGACACTTAGTGGGGAAGAAAGATAAGGAACAAAAGGACAGTGACCCTTCTTGTTTCTTCCCTAAGGTACGCCAAAAGATGCTACAATTAACGCAGATCATATAGCTAACGAAGAAAACACAAAAGATTTGAGCCCGAAACCAGACAATTGTGCTTGAAAGGGAGGTTTTTTTTGACTGTGTCTTCCTCTCTATCAATATTATGAATTAGTGAACCTTTTGCTGGTGGGGTAATATTGGACAGATCCACGTTCACATGTCTTTTGGTTAATTCCCAATATGAGGACGTCAAGTATTTAATGAGTACCTGGCCCGTAGCTGGATGGTGGCCTCTTTACGTAAAGTTTCATTTAATACCCGTACTTTCGTATTAATAACTTCAAATTAATTAATTTCAAAACCGAAGTAAATTAAGAATGCTACCCAGAATTTTGCTGAAACCTTCAACAAAATTGTTCTTTTTTTTGGGTCAATACAGTTGCTCTGTCTGGCCAATGGCTCAGTACTCAGCACAGTTGTTCCGTGCTTTTAATCATGGATGAAAACATCCAATGATTTTTTAGCTGTTGGTGCCACGAAAGTGATTAGTAATTACATTACATGGAAATTAAATCTATCCCTCTAAAACTAATTAATTAATCAATGCGATAGTTCGACACGGTAACATGTGGAATCGATGTGTGTCCGATTAGGGTATAATTGATTTAAGCTCGCATCAAATTTATCCACTACCCACCATCACGTCTGGTCGATATAAATTAATACTCATTAAATTGGTGATCCAATTAATTAATATGACTGAGTTTTCATAGGATTTATGCTCTGAACGTGTATTGATAAGTAGTTCAATGTAGGTCGTAATTTTGATTATAAAGAACATGATGATCTGTTGCTTATTCATGGCCTTGCCAGAACAAAAATTTAGTCGAAGTCATGTCCATTTTCAAGATTAATGAAATCTCGCTAAACAAGTTGCTAAATCAAGAGGCAAAGCAAATGGCAAGTTATCATGCTTACATTAATTATCACATCGTATTCGTATAATTTAATTTTTACTTTATTGGGGTTATGAGAGGAGCAATTTGCATTGAAAGAGCCATATGTTACTGTGGTCCCCTATTCGCCAAAAGCCTTTCGAGAGTGTGATCCCATTGGCAAAGAGATCGGTTTGCATGACCTAAGGGGCTACTGTTGATGTTCTAGCTAGTCAGGTAGGACGACACATTTTTAACAAAAATAATATCTAAAACTTGTTTTAATGAGGAGGAGGCCCACTCTTAGAGAATATCGAGGGGAAATTGATGAGTTATTAGAACTGGAAAAAAAAACAAAGCCACCACAATTGTGCAGCATAAAGATAGGTTAGACATTTAATTACGTCAAGTACTTCAACAGGGAGCTGATTACCTTAGTGACAGCTCAGAGAATAGTTATGAGAAGCGAAGAAAGGAAGAATAAGATGGTGACATGTCATGGCATAGCCAAAGAAAGAGCGAGAGATCATATGGGCTAAACGAGTCAAGCATGCATGAATAAAGCGCTGTTTTGTGCAGAAAGAAAGAAAGAAAAAGGCCACTAAAGATGGACAACAATGAATTGCTATTTCAGATAAATTCCATGAAAATTTCACTGACACACCCATCAGCAGAGAACCCCTCCTGCAACTTATTATAACGACGATCCAGAGGCCACCTTCCCTCTCTTCTTTTTTAACTCTCTTTGGCTGATGAATTTGGAGTAACTTTTTGAGCTAACGATGAGAGATAAAAGGGGATTCGGGTGTTGCAGTCATCAAAAGAAGGGAAAGTCCGAAAACGACATATATATTAACTGATACATCCCCTTTCTTTTTTGGTAAGATCAGAGATATGGAATTATTTTTTAACTGTGTCTCCACTTCTGATGAGTTTCTGTATCTAACCTTACGAGAGAATATAATTTTGTTGCTCTTGATTTCTATTGGCATGTGAAGCAACGAGCAAGACTTTCCATACAAGCGATTTCATTTTTGTTGTCAAGTACATATATAGTTAACATAACAACTGTCAAGAGTTTTTCTTTTCATTCCTACTATTTTTTTCATCAGAATTTTCGTCCATTCGTTATTGTACACGGTGAATGGAACGTCGTCATAGTGAGGACATATATAATAGAAGAAAGATGATTTATTAAGAGATTGGTTAGCCACAGAGAGGGGTAGAGAGAGAAGCAGATTTTATATGCTCTTGCCCATTTGTGTAGTCTGAATCAACTTAAAACAATTTGGAGGACCACTTTCTCTTTCTCACACTCAACAGATACAGAATCCCTGAGACAGATAAAAAACAGCCAACAAAGTAATAAAGAATCGGCACCAAACTAATCGTACCATATAGGGTCCTTCGAGGAGGGAGGGGGGGGGGAGAGAGAGGAGGGAAGAAGGACTTTACCAAAGAGTTGGGATCATTTGATCTTAGTCTTTCAAAACTTACAAGTTCATCCATCAACGAGGGTACGTGGAGTATCTGATGTAAATATAATAAAGTAATGAGAGAACCGTGAGAAGGAAAGGCGTGAGCGGAGAACAAATACTTTTACAGTATAGAGGCAAATCTATCATACCAATTTTTGTTTTTCTTAAGAAAACTTGCTTTCTAATTTATCTAACTTAATCACTCTGCAACTTGTTAAGTCGATTATGACCCTCATACATATATATATATATATATATAGCAGATAGATGCGTCAAAACAGATGCTCTGATGCGCAGCACGGTTAAAAAAAAATAAACAACCCTTCTATCTGAAAGGTCAAATTTCCAAACACGCTGCCGTATGCTGGGTTAAGCAGCAAACAACCTGAATCCATATACGCACCGACCGATAGAAAGAGGACAAAGCAATTCCACGCACTCAAACACACGCACATACATGTTCTTTGATAAGATTAATTAATATAAACGCGCAAGCTACTGGCCTATAGGATATTATATAGTTTTTTAGACGTAAAGTTTTAAGGGTCCTGTTACACTTAGGTTTGAACGTAACTTTGAAATTTTGAATCCTTTTTTCTCATTGTCTCTCGCGGGAGTTAGTATGATTAATGGAACATGCAAAAGAAATATCTGAAGCAGTACACACACACACACACACATATATATATAGCTAGGTAGGTGAATATGTGTTAAAAATCACTGATTTTTGTATGGACAGAAATAAAATTACGTTATTCAAGTGATTAATTAGTTGCCTGTTGCTTTTGATACTAGCACTACAATTTATATACATGTACGAGCCACAGGAAGCATGCTAATCAAACATCTACCCACGTCAATAATTGAAAATGATGCGATCCAATATGATTGAATATGATTATTATTGATGTAACTAAATGAACAACCTTCTTCGAACAAGGAAGTCCATATATTTTAATATCCATCCGCCAATCACGTACGCAGTATACGTCTATGGTTCACCAAACAAAAAAAGTAAAAACGGTCTTTTAATTAGTCTTTTAGGGCACCGCAGTCTTCGACCCGCTTCTACAAAGGCAAACCACTTGAAAAACTACTCAAAGATGTTTATTATGCAATATTCCGTCATGAATATTAATTAAATCCGAGGTAAGATCATTCATATTCCGCAATTTTCTTTTGTCTCCCTAATTTAAAGTAATTAATTATTAATCGATTCTTCATCACGCTGCGCTCACGCTCTATATTTAAAGATTTTCATCACTTTTAAACAACATAACTCGCGACGCGTTATTAATAATGTAGCTCGGTCCTCGAGCTTGAAACCTCTCAAAATAATAATAATAATAATAATAATAATAATAATAATAATAATAATAAAAGGGAAAAAAAACTTTAAAAAATGATTTGGACTAAAAAGTTGAATGCGTAGAACAGATGTGGATATTTACAAGGGAAACCAAAAATTAAGTGAAGGTGGTACTTTGAGAAGCCAAAGCCAGTCTCAGACTTTGTGGCCTTGTCAGGGTTTCAGTTCCCAGATTGATAAGCCCCAATTGTCCTTAGATCAGTGATCAGACCCCACCCTCCCTCTCCGTTTATAGGATCCACACCACGCCCCGACATATCCATCTTTCTCCTCCTTCTTCCTTCCCCTTCATTCTCCTACCCCCCTCTCTCTCTCTTTCATGGACAGAGCTTCAGAGACTAGCACTAGAGAGATCCATGACTTCATGAACGTCGATTCTTTCTCTCAGCTACCCTTCATCCGCCCTGCCCCTCTTAAAGAAAAGCCCATCAAGCTCTTCGGCATAGAATTTGGCACCCCCGAAGCCGCCACCTCAGGCGCCGCCGCTCCTCCGACCGACGATTCCGAATCGGCCGAAGATTCAAATGGGAAGGACAGCTCCGCCAACGAGAACAGTGAGACTAACCGGAGATTTGAATGCCATTACTGCTGCAGAAACTTCCCAACCTCCCAAGCCTTAGGTGGCCACCAAAACGCTCACAAACGAGAGCGCCAGCACGCCAAACGAACCCACCTTCACATGTCTGAGTCTCCAGTCTACAGCCTCGTCAACTACAGGTCCTTCTCTTCGCCGACTTCAACGCTAACCACGCCAATGCCTGCTACTAGTTATCCAACTTCTGCTGCTTATAGCGCAGCTAGGTTCTATGGAAGCCCATATTCTCATCATCATCATCACCAGCCCATCAACGGAAGCCCCTTGGCCTTTTGGCGAATCCCCACACTCCAAACTAACCCTACTTTCAACCGTGACCGTTCGTTGAATCCATTTCCCTCATTTGCCGGCGAGGATATCAACGTGAGGGCCTCATCACTGCAGCTTGGCGGGTCTGCTGCATTGCAAAACCGGTACGTCCATGACTCCAAACCCAGCGTTCAAGACCATGTGAGTTTGGATCTTCATCTGTAACATTATATATTAACTTTTAAGGCACTTTGGGGTTGATCGGGGGCTCTGTGGAGATTAATATTATCAAATTGCCACTTTTTTCCTCTGATGGAGTTTTATGACGTGATAATTCTAAGATGATCCTCCCATACACATACACGCACGCACATATATCACTTTATTGCTAATTAATTTTTTTTTAACCAACGCTAAGTAATTAACATTGATTTACATTAACCGCATATAATTAACGTTCCTTCTAAGCATTGATATGTTGAGCGCTAATGGTTGCAATATTTATGTACACATTCTTAGTCTGCACGATTGAGAGAACTTTCACACTTGTGGAGAGCATGTTAAGCCTAGAAGACAGTTGGGGGTGCGCATGAGCATTTTGTCGGAACACACGTGTGGGAAAATAATGAAATTGTGAAGACAGATGGAGGTTTATGAGAGAGGGTGGGTTTCCGATTCGATGCGCAATGTAATTGAGAAAGGTCATGATGATAAGTTTTGATGGTCTGCTGGAAAAAATTGCAGGAAAGAAAGTGATATTTCCATGCCATTTGCGGGCACACATGTAACTCCCCACACTTCAAATTTATGTTTTTTTAATTATTATTATCACCACTTATTTCCATAGCAATTACACACACACACACACACACACACACAAGTAAGACATATATGGATATATGGAGGAATAGAACTATAATATATATATATATATTGATATGTGCCTATCAACTTTAGGTGATGTCTCTTACGTCTAGCTAGATATAAGTTGGAACCTTCTCCTATGTATGAGACCTTATACTTAGGGGACAAGGTGGGTGACGTCAAAACCCGTAAAAGGCCACACTCTCGCTCTTTCTTGCTTTCTCCGGTCGATTCAATTAATTAAGGTCTCGAAGGAACATTTTCCGCAGAATCATGTATGCTTGCTCCTTTCTGATGTTTTCATTATGGGAAGAGTTTGGGTTGACCGGAGTTGACACAAAATTTGCAGATTCGGCATATTGAACCTAAAAACCAAATGGGTTGCTGTGTTGGGAAAGGATCTAATGGTAGAACAGGAATTAATAACAATGGGGCTTCACCTTGGCAGAAGTTATTTATGTCTAACTTGATGGCGTCCTACACAACTGGGACATGTTTACAGAAACAAATAAGCATTGAAACTTGAGAGGCAGTGGTACCAACGACCAAGGGCTTTTATGGCTTTAAAATGACAAAACCATCCTCTTCGAAAAGGATGTGTCTTCCTTTTCCTCCAAGACTTTAAGGAACAAATGAACACGGTAGTTAGACTGCCATCTTTATTTTCTCACCTTCTGTACCTTCGCTTTTATGTCTGATACATAGAGAGAGAGAGGTGTTAGGTGGGTTAGTTTTGATGAGTAAGAAAGTGGGACTGGGAGATTCCTTCTCCTTAACAATAATACAGTAATAGTTAGTACCGATGGATCTGTCAACTTTAGTCATCTGTCATCGTGGCAGCGCAAAGGGTCAGAGATTTAGATGACGATGAACGCTACCAATGTTCACCTTACCATAAAAAATCAGAGAAAAATGCGCCCTGTCACCGCATGGATGCTAAAGTTCCCCAATCCTTGCACTTGCCTTTGTAGGAATATGATAGATTTGACTGGCAATACCAACCTGTAGTAGATAAGACTTTCCCATTTAATTTCCCCCTTTTGAAACTCTGGACGATGTTGAACTTTTTAGTTTCAAGTACTTCGACCTATTTCACCACCCACGACCTAGTCTTGAAGTCTTAGTTATACAGGTTTCAACAGTTTCAGGACAAACACTTTTTGGTTTTCTTCTACAGAAATTGAAACATGCGTTCCATAAAACATCTGTCGTCTCCTGGAAGTCTTAGCAATAGATTAACCAGAGTTTTAACGAGTACAAAACTCTGAGAATTTAAGACGTTCTCCCACTTCTCCTCCTTCCCCTGTCTCTCTCTAAACCAATACACAGCCCCTACTTCAAGGATCTAAAACGTACTCAAAAATTAAATATAAATAAAAAACCTAACTTTATTTATAAAACTTTAAAAATAATAAAATAATAATAATTTAAATTCAAATTCAAAATCCTAAATCTAAATACAATCTTAAATATACTGATATTTAAAATAACAATAAAATAAATAATAAGTCCTGATTTAAATATCTTACTAGATAATCCTAATATCTTAAATAAACCTTGATTATCCAAATTATCCATTCTCTTATATTCCATCATTTCTCCTCTGTTTGAAGAACTCGTCTCCCAATGAATTACAATTAAGGCACAAAATGGTTGGAGAAGGATGTGTGGGATAAAATTTCATCCAAATGCATCAATCTTATTTGGAATATCTAAAAAACCTTTTCAGGAGACAAGATATTGCTAAAGTTTCCTATTAAGTGATAGGACATTCTTGGCAAGTATAGCTCGTAAGTGAGATGAATCTGTAGTGAGGCAAGGTTGGTTTTGGCTAATCACAACTCGAGAAGGTGCCACTTGTACAGGAAATAGAGGAGTTTTTAATGTAACCTATAATGGGGTGCTAGAATGGATAGACCATTTTCATGATTATGTTCCACAAGAGTTACTATAAACTCCTATGAATCTAAGGTAAAAGTTTCAGCATCTTCTTGTTTGATTACTTGTTTTTGCTGATTTAATGATTCAATAATTTGTTAGAAACTTTTCTTTATGTTTTTTAGTTAGATGTGCACCTTCTTGAATTCGACGTTTCAATTCAACGTTGGATTTAGCGTTGCGATGTTTGACTTTATCTATTCGCCTTTCTAATTTAGTATTGAAACTTTTTTCCTCAATAATTTGTCATGCATATTTAGCCCCGCGACATGCTTCATAACTATACCATTAGTCATATGCATTTAGTATTGGCATCATTCTTCAATTATTTTCCTCTAATAGCCTTCGTTGTAAGGTCTCCCTTAACTAACTACGTTTAACTCCAAATCATAGTAATCAAGGGATTAACCCTCATTGAATTACCAAAATGTAAAATTTCATAAAAAGAAAATTTCTCAAATCCTTTTTAAAAAGAATCCCAATTTTAACATTTCAAATCTCAAACATTATTTAATAAAATCAAATTAGAGTTTTGAAAGTAATGCGGAAGCATGGAGATCAATTAGGACCTAAAACAATGAGTTTTAAGACTCAAAACAGATTTTGTACAGAAAATGATACGTGTGCCACAGATCACGACATGTGCGCCATGACTTGTCTTCTCTGTGCATGCGCCGTGGCGTGAGGCACTATGCGCTGTGGTGCATTGCACGAAAATGACAGCATTAATGTTGTCATTTAACAACACAAGAAGCGAACTTTCGATGAGTTTCAATTCTCTGTCCGATGTCCGATTGAGGTGGTTTCGGTGTCTATATAGAGCTTTCTCCTAACTCTAGCTAACGACATTGGTTTCGCACTCTAACTTTTAATCTACAAAAAGTTAGACACTAAAATTTATTTTGATCACTTTTTCACAAAATTTCACAAATGGGTGTCCCAACTAATCATACGTGACAATAACTCACATCGACCATCCGACCACACACAATGAACTCTTGCAGACCCGTGCAACACACCACACACAATCAAAGATACTTATATCACAAAATCATTACTCAACTTTGATTTTTATAAAACACAAAGGGGAAGAAAATGTTGCACAAATTCATCAATTTCATTCCAATTCTTTTGAAATACATATATTTCTACTTGCACAAGTATTTTGGCCCTATCTATGGGTTTACAATCAAAACTCACTAACCCAAGGTATAAAATATACCAATTGCACAAAATAATGCAAGCAGTATATAAAAAAACATTAGCATGTGATCCTAGTTAGCAATTACATTAACAAATATACATGGAACAACTAAAAGGAGGCATATAGAGGATTATTCCACAATCCTAGGCCTCTGTATATTTCCCCGACTCAGATCCGATGAGCTAGGTCCTGAAAATATTAAAAATTGAAGAGTGAGTGCAATCACTCATAACCAAGTTCCACCTAACCTATACAGTTGCATATTAATTGTAAATAGATGCAATTAGGCAAATACACATATATCACATATAAACATTTGGCCACAGTTCATAAAACTATCAACCATGTGACCGAACCCACAAGACATAATAATCATGTTATTTTGCAAAGCATAACATGAGGTCGTAATAATAACAACTATACGCCCCAAACACGTGCCGGACCATAAAACTAACAACCATGTGGCTGATTTTATATCCATGATCATATGCCACCCTTATACCCTCCTATTACCCCTGACATGAAACTGGTGGCTATCACGCAGCTACGTCCTTTACGGACTAACCTAACCTATCACTTATGAGGAGCTACCGAGCCAGGGTGAACTTGCTCACTTATGTAATTCAATTTTTCCCAATACCAACAACTATGGGGCGTCGTACATAAATCGATGGAGACTAGTTAGATTCGAGTCCTTCGTAGAATAAGTAGAACAGTCACAAATCAACCATGAAACAAGGGCTACCTTTCTATTCTAACTATCGGTGCCAAGGTAAGTTCTCAATTCCACTAATACCATATGGATTTAAACTAATCTACTCTTCTCCCTAGGCAAACTCCCGTCAATGATCATGCTATGTATGTTTCTCATATAATATGCATTTTAAACAATCAATTCATAGCACATAAACTCACACATGCTCAAATACTCCATAAACTCAATACATTTCTTATCACAATTATCCACCCTTCATAACAAACCAAAATCAAGTTCATACATTATAAGGGTGGCACAATCGAGGTTTTCCTTTCCAAAACCATTTTACAATTTAAACATATTGCCAATATGCATCATTAACTTAAATTATAAATCACATTCCACAGACATAATTAACATTCAACTATAAAGATTAAGTTTTTCTCGGTTACCTCAAACTTTTAAGAAGTCAAAGGTTTACCCCTCATAATATCAACTTATAAAGCTTCAACAAGTTTGAATGATGTCAAAATGAACCATACTACAATTATAGCACAAGATTACCATCATTGTCTCAATCTTGAGATTTTATCAACACATAACTCCACACATACTATTCTATCAACCTATAATTCACTATCCATTTATATCAAATAGGCTCTTTAGATTTCATTAATGCATATTATCATTAATAACATTTTAAACCACCATTAATGAACACAAACTTCTCCCAACTATCACATTCATCTGGATTTTTGAATATTAAATACTCTACTCAACAAACTCCTAATAAAACTATCACGTCCCAAAAATAGAGAGTGACCGGCACGGGTGCGAACTACATCACACATTCCTATAAGCCTTAAAATAAAAATTCCTTTTGTTTTAAAAATAATCAGATTATATAGAAATTCTAACACTACTAATATTAATTGTCATAACAAAACTTCAACATGTTTTTTAAAATTTTGACAAAACCTTTCCTATAAATATGATCTCCCAAAAGTTCTACAAATTTTTTTTCAGAAAACAGTATCAACCAGGAGCTTAGCTCCTTCCAGCTAGCAACAGTATATAAATTAAAATAAAATCCTAATGACAATCTATGTGGAGCAACTAAT